GGGGTTACCATGGTTTGAAATGCTGTTGCCTCTGCTGGGGACCAGCTCAATGAACTATATGACAAGCCATGAGCCTTTTGGCTCTGGACTAGTATCATACATAGTGGACACATCTACATGAGATGTTACATTGCTGCAGTGACACACTATGCAGATGTAGTATCTACAGGAATCTACATGTGACCAGCAGCTACTTTGCTGTAGTGGCGCACTCCCCCATTGTGGCGCACCACTACAGCGAAATAGCTGCTAAAAGTTAGCATGCACCAGTAGGTTATTGTGCCATGCTTCAGTACTTCCAAAAGGAAGTACTAAAGCACAGTGCAGTAACAACACTGTCATAGGGCAACGTGTAGATACATCCAGTTTGTACTTCGTATAAGTAGGTAAAGAGTGCTGTTCAAAAGTGTGCTTAGGGAGCACCTGTGTTGAAACTTGTAGCAGTTTACAACTTAAAATGTAATTCAATTCTGGATGAACTCACTCATAGTAATTTACATATATACAAGTTCCTATGGGTATGTTTACTCGAAAGTCTTATTTTTTTTGGTTTCTTGCATTTCAAATTAACAATGGAGGGCAAGCAATTGCTGCAGTTTTGACTCTGGCCTTGGGTCTCTGTCAGGGCTAGAGTCAGACCCACAGCAGTCTCCTGTCCTCTTCTGCTTGCCCTCTGCAGCTTCTCCCCTCCCTTCTGTCCCTCCCTCCTCTCCCCCAACCATTACATACAGCTCAATACTTTCCACACTGTGCTCAGGGAGGGAGCAGGGCAGAAAGGCTGCAGGGGGAAGAAGTAGGGGTGGAAAAGGGCAAGGGGCCAACATGAACCCCCACCTGCAGACACCAGTTCCCCCACCATAGCAGTGGGAAGGGTATGAATTCAAGACAACCTTCCAATAATTAGACTGTGCACCTGGAAAATTATAACAAATTTATACATTTCCTATATATAGTATCTAATTATGGGGGGGGGGGCAGGGTTATCTTATATTCAGAATTGTCTTATATTTGAGTAAATACGGCAACTCAGAATTTTTTTCACCATTGTTTCTTGGAAAAATACTTCTCTGAGTTTCTCTGTAACTGGACCAACTGTAGTTGGGAAAGATGTCAGACAAACTTTTGGGCAATAAGTGCCTCTCCTACCACGAAAAAGGATCCTTTAGGTCTGAACTTGCCTAACATCTCTCCCAACTATATTTAGTTCAAGAAAAAATATCACCAAAAAATACTCACCTTTTATATTTCCTGAACCACTGTGGCTATTACAACGCTCCACTGCTACTCAAAAATATAAGAGCAGTCTTGTATAAACAATTTCACAATATTTAGTAAAAAGATTTATCTATATTGTCTAAAAATTGGGGGGGTTCTTTTTAATTTTGACATTTTTCCTTCTTTGGCATTCAAGAACTTAACCAATACATGAAACAAAATTAAAACCTACAGAATTTCCTAAAGTTGATCCTGACCCCCTTTGCCTCAGTGCAGTGCAATAATTAATTATAAGCTAAAACGTTATAAGTATGAAAACTCATAGAAGGATGTAATAATGTATTTAGTCTCAGGACTTGAGTAAACAATTATGGCAATAAAACACTTCAGTGGAGCTGCAGTATACATGTCCTGTCCCTGAAAAAAGCCTACTTTTATTTAGGTTTCTAGTGAACTCTTACAATTTGAAAGCTTTAACAACATTAACCTTAAAATTAAGAGAAAATGGTATTGAGTTGAAAACAAGAACGTTGTATTGAAAAGTTTAAGGCTCCTGAAGGAGAGGAAAATTTCACTTTACACCCCACTGTCACTGTGTAACTGTGCAACTGTGTAACTGCACTGTAACTGCAACTGTACAAAATAATGCATCAACAGTGACATCTAGTGGCTTTCGTAACAGTAAAAACAATATAATAGTTGAACTAGTATTTTAGAGCAGTGATTCTCAATCTTTTTAGACTTGAGGCACCCGTTGAAAAATGCCAGCTCTTGGTTTTCATTACTTTTCCTGATTACAAAAAAATAATACTGAAACTCTTCTGTTGCAAATAACTTGGAAAGACCACAACAGATCAGAGTGTTGCTAATCCTACAGATTCTTATTTGAAATCTCTGGCTGCATCCACATGTGGTGTGGATGTTTGATTCCCCAGGGACAACTACCAGTGGCACGCCTTGTGCCGCGGCTAGCTGTCTCCGAGGAACACACATGCCGTGTGTGTTCTGAAGCATGGCAAGTTACCCTAGGTGGGGTAGTGGAGGTTGGCCCCAGCAGCCTTACTTGGGGTTCTGGGGGCCTCCCAGGGCTGCAGAAGCAGTGATTCTGCTGCACAGAGCCTGGCCAGCAGCCACAGCACGGGTCTGGCCAGCCCAGCTCCAGTTTTGAGCAGCACCTGCTGCCCATGCATGTGGTGCTCCTCTTTTTTCTGTGGGTTCTTTTGACCCCTGGATATTCAGGGGTCAAAAAAACCCTCCGTGCTGCTCCACTGCAGCACAGTGAACAACTGAACGTGCAGTATGTGGCGCCACAGACGCATCTGCAGTGCCACATACCAAACAGCTGTGCTTGTCTGGACACAGGCTCTGGGTCTATCATGCAAATCATGTTTACACACCTAGTAGTGCTAAAATTGAGTTGTACCCGGAAGTACCCTTGAAAGAATCTCAAAGTACCCCAGGATGCCACAAAACCCTGGTTAAGAATCACTGTTTGAGAGAAATAGTTAGCTGCATTATTCTGAAGTCAAGCAGACTATGAAAGCTTATGCCTCTGTGAACTAGTTGGTCTCTAGGGTGTTATCCTGCCCTGCCTATGTTATCATTTTAAACAGTAGTTCCATATGCACAATAACGAACGGACTGAAACATTACCAATAAGCTAATGAAATAAACCATTTATAATTTTCCTCAACAAACATCTTCATGTGCAGACGTGGCCATAAACCTGAACTCAAATCACTTAAAAGTAGATGTGCACCAATACATCGGTCCTTATCATATAGGCACAGATAAAAGGAAAACTGACATTACTGACAAATCAGCTATTTTGGTTAATGTGGCTGATAATTGTCACCAACAAGTGTTGCGTGCATGTGCACAGCCACAGCATAAACATGGACAGCCTGGCAGCCTGGACAGCAGTGTCCAGTTGGTAAGTCTGTTGGAGGGAAGGGGGTGGGGAGAAGGCAGATCAAGGCCCCCACAGAGAAAGAGGCAGTGGGGCTGGTGTAGGCACTACCCAGCCAGGGCAGGGCATGAGTCAGAGCCACAAATGGCTCAACGAGGGGCCATGGGGAGAGGGGCTGTCGGCTCCCCAGCTACACAAACCCCGCGGGAGGCATGGGGGGTGTGCACCCCTTGAATCAGCACGTGGGGCAAAGGTGGGCTGCCGCTGTAGGCTGGGGTCAGGGGTGGAGCCGGGCTGCTCCCAGTGGGGGCTTGGGATGGGGCTGTGGTCCAGGCAGGGGGCAACAGGTCTGGGAGGGTGGGCTACAGCGAATTTTGGGGTGGCCATAGCCTACCCTATAGCCCCCTCCTCCCAGCAGACCTGGCCCAACCCCCCCAACCAGGAAGAACCACCATGCCTCCCCCAGACCCAGTGGCAGCTCACCCTTACCCCATGAGTAGATCCAGGATGCACACGCCCCCCATGTCTCCCCTGGGGGTGTGAGCTGTGGTGGGAGCCACCCCCCTCTTCCAACATCCTCTGGACAGCCACTTGCAGCTCCATCCCGTGACCCACCCTGGCTGTGAAGTGCCTACCCATGTACTAGCCCTACTCCCTCCCTCACCATGGGGGCCCCAATCTTTTACCCCTCCCCCAAAAGACTTACCAGCTGAACACTGCTCTCCAAGCTGCCAGGCTGCATATCACTGATCGGATTGGTATCAGCCAATCTGGCTCGTTAATAAATCAGCCATCGGTATCAGACCAAAAAATATCTGTGAACCCCTACTTAAAAGTAATTTAAAGACTGCCATCAATTCCAGCCGTATGCCTTTCCTACCCCCAATTTTTTGTTGCTGTTCACTTATTTTCCAAAAGCTATTTTTCCTTTTTTCCTTTATACATAGGATAAATAAATTGCCTATACAAGGAAAACTGACTATACATAATGTCTTGATAAAAAAACAATACATTAGAGAAAAATGTGTCAACACTAATCACAATTAGTTAGTAATTTCTAGGTCTAGCATGTTAGGATTCTGGGTCCAGTTCTGACTGTTCCTGCAGTGATTTTTTTTATAATTTCTCCGTTTATGTGCTCCTAAAAAACAGTACACAACTCATTTTGACTGCCTTGTGGATTGTGGGAGCTATGGCCTTGGTCAGAGATGCATGGAAACATAAGTGACTCAACTTCTGAGGCAACATCTGAATTCACAGTCTCCTTTCTCCCTTACTTGATATCTTTCCCACTCCCTCCTAAAACATACATACATATTTTTTTAGGGATGAAAATATTTGTATTTGAGGATAACAACCAATGATATTTACTCTATTTGGTATCGAATTCCTATTACTGCAGAACAGCAGGAAAAAATGAAATAACAGCTGCAATCAACAACAATTGATCTAAGCTGACAAGAGGCTGAGGAGTTATTTAAAAAAAAAGAGTAAGAGCAATGCCTTGTAGATTCAGGTATTCTATAAGTGAGACCATGTTCTCAACTTCCTGAAAATCCAGGATGGTTCTAAGTGGCTCAGACAATATGGACCTTCCACTGAAGTTTTTTGGGAAGTGCAGGTGCTAAGCAGTCAGGCTTTGAGACTCAGGCTCTGTCTGCGATGCTACCCTGGAATTTAGAAATAGTGCTTATTGCTTAGCAGTTGGTGTGTTTGATCCAACAGCTTAATTCTTGACCAAACAGTTTAAACAAATTGAAATGTTTTTTGTAATATTATGCTTCAGATACATCTATAAAAGCAAGAAACATTTTCAAATTGTTCTTGGCTGACGCAATGTTTTGGAAAAGTAAAGCTAATATCAGATGGAGCTTACCTGTTTTTTTTGGAATTTTCATCCTTCCCTCTTTTGACTCCAAAAATTCTTGTAATCAGGGCACTAAAAAGAAGTGTAGAGGCATTTCTTACCTAATACATAAAGAAATATGGAATAGGAATTAAGAAGCTTCCAAACAGCTCTTCAAATTTGTTTCTGGTAGCAATTTTAAAACCTAACAACACAGTATTTTATATTTCTGAACAGACAGATCTGTTAACCTAGCACTGCATCTTTCTTGATGCAGAAGCATCAGAGGAAGCTGAAGCCACAATCTACAGTATTCAACTTGAAAAGACAAGCAGTTTAATGGAGATCAATGCACCACCCAAAAGATGGCGTGGCTTAGTAGTAAAAATTTGGGCCTGGGAGGCAGAAATCTGAAATCCATCTTAACCTTTCCAATCTTCCTGTGTAATCTGCCACAATTTCCTTATCTTTAAAATGTGCCCAAGGATGCCCTTTGGTGCCTGTCCAATTTCCTTAAGGTAGGCACCCTCACCAACTTGACCCGATAGCATGAGCCTCCACCGTATCACATGGATTTTACTCTAACTGGGCACCCTTCATTCTTGCTGCTGCCATTCTATAGGCCAAATTTATAGCTCAGGTTTTGGGGTTTTTTTCCAAGAGCCTTAATATTTGGCAGCAGGCAGAGGGTGCAGGAAAGCACAGTAGGCAATAAATGGCCAGAGTTATGGCTACTCTGCATGTGGAATAGCAGCACGCCACAGATATAGGTCAACTAACTAAGGGACTGAAGCAGGTAGCTGCTCATTTGCCCAGTTCTGAAGTTATCCTGCTTCTCTATCAACTTGGGAAGCAGAAAGGTAACTTAGCCTGCACAGGCTTTCATACTACCATGGCTAGCCTGCTTCCAATATACTGCAGAATAGCATGCAATGTAAGCACCTCCTACAATTGACAAATTCTCTCCACTCCATGAGGTAAGAGACCTTCTCTTCCTCTCTCCCCAACATGTGGTAAAAGGAGCTGTGCCACTATGTTTTTTGCCTCTGAAGGAGCCTCTTTACAACTGAGGCCACGAAAGGAAGAGCACTGCTAAAATTCTTCTTCCTTCCCCTGCAGAACAATGCTATTTCTTCATTCCATGAGGCAAAATATAATTTTTCAAGTTCTACCTTGTTCAAAGAAAGGAGATTGTTGTTTGCAGCATGGGACAGGGAGGCAATGTTAATGCTATACTGGATCTCATTCTGCTCAGGGACAGGGATTAGACAGAAATAATGTGCCTGTGAAGACCAGAGGAACACTCATCAGAAATTTAATCAGTTTCCAGTAGTCTGACATTTCACTGGAATTCAGAGCTTTCAAAATTTCCAAAATGCTGGGACCATCAGAGCTGATCTTGCTTACGGGCAAAGAATATCAAACTCATCATTCAGATGAAAACATTAAGAGGATAAGGCTTTCTGGAATATTTAAGTTGAGAACTACTGGTAAGTTCCAGTGTGCTGGAAATACTTATCATTGAGGACAAAGTAAAAATATAAAACAGATTTTCCATTGCTTTAGAACATTTATTTTCAACTCTGGAAGGTCATAAAACACTGGACCTTAAGAATCACATTCTGATTAGCATATTGCAATGAGACCAAAACCAATGACCAGAAATAGTGCAACTGGATTCTTACTAACATAACAAATATGAATCAAAATTCATCAGACAATCAGATACTTTTCCTCTTTCGGAAGAGAATATACTTTTGTCACTCTTCAATTAGCAAGAAATTGCAATATAGCAACCAAAAATTGTATTGATATAGCAAAATACTGAGGCCCAACATTTTCTGAATTCTTTCCTCCAATGACTGAAGGCACAAGAGTGGGAAATACCATATATTTGATATGTAGCTGTGAAAGTTCAAATTCCAGTAGCTATGATACTATTACTTAGAGACATTAGTAATGTTCTAATTAGCACCACCACATGCCTCTTTCACCCCATTAAAATGCATTAAGTATAAACTTACTGCCCAGACAGGAGATGTAAAACCAAGAATTGCTGCTTGTATTCCATCTGCTACATAGGGTATGATGTTTTCACCTAAGCGGGTATCCCTAAACAACGCCCTCAGGATATTTAAAGCATGAACCTGGAGGAACAGAATATAAATGTTAGCTGTTCTGTAACATGCCGCTTGGAGGGAAAAGTCCTCAACTTGTGTAATTTAACCGCATCAGTAGAGATTAAGTGAAAACCTTACATATACAGCAAAATCTCTAGCTGGAAATTCCATTAACTGGAATTTTCGGCCGACCAGCCGGACACAGATGGACGCGGCGGGGGAAAGACTGCATGCGGCAGCGGTCACCACCACTCACCACTCTATGCTGCTGCTGCCCCAAGTTGCCAGCTGGAAATCAAGCAGCCTCCTCAGAGGCTGCTGGAGCACCCTGACTGCTGGCCTGGGCCAGTGCAGCCAGGCCCCAAGCCCTGCCCCCTGCCCTCCCCAGCAGGTGAACGCTTGTTGGGTTCAATGGCGCTCTAAACTCATGGCACGTTGTGTAAAGTACCATACTTAGAGCTCCTCCCCGACAGGCTGCCTAAACTTCTGTATGCAGTCACAGATGCTGGATTTGCTGCTCTTAAAATGACCCAAACAGATGTCTATCCAACCTCTTCTTAAAACCTCAAAGAATATTCCATAACTTCCCTAAGCAGCTTGTTCTTGTATCCTAGTGCTCTTTGGGGCAGAGCACCTTTGGGTGCCTGCCACTTTAAGGAGCTTGAGCAGGCTGTGGAGCAGCTGACAGGTGCAGTAGACCCAATTAGGCAGTCACATGACTGCAGAGGGCCCCTGGATTAGAGGAGGGCTGGGCAGCCTCAGTATAAGCCCAGGCCCAAGAAGCTGAGCCAGCAGTTACACCTAGGGAGGCAGAGGAGCAGCATCACTCAGCCTGCAGCTCCCAGAACACTGAGAGGTCAGGGTAGGAACTATGAGGATGGAGGAGGCATGACCTGAAACTGCACCCTGCTGGGACTGGATGGTGTAGTCGAGCTGCTGGCGGCAGAGGAAATGCCACACCTCTGCCTCTCCAATGAAAGGTGTGTGTGTGTGTGGGGGGGGTGCAATATACCCTCAGCCCGCACTGCCTTGTGGGTATCCCATGGAGGGGAAGGGCTAGGGGAGCACACCCCAACAGAAAAGCACAGGGCCCAGGTCCACTTGAGTGGACAAGACCAGCCTGGTATGGGATAGAAAGTCAGAAGCTGCATGGAGTAGGGTCTGTGGGGGCCTGAAGGACTGCAAGCATGTCGGCCAGAGTAGTGACCCCAGTGAGGAAGGCAGAGAGGCCAAGGTATGTCTGAGGACATCTGAGGCGAAATGTGGGCCAGAGGCCGAACATGGGCCAACTAAGGGGCCAAGGGAGCTGGAAGTGATTTTGGATGCCATCTGCGAGGCATGGGACACTATGTAAGGGGAGATTTGGAGCAGTGTATTTGGCCCTTGGCATCAGGCTAATAAAATGGGCTGCCTCCAGAATTTCCCATCTTTTTTGATACATCAAGGAGAGGCAGACCAAACTGCCCTAGACAGGTGGGAGGGCTGATGTCATGACCGGTTTTGAGATGGCCCCCATCACACTCTTAAGTTCAAAATTTGTTCTTAAGATTTGATCTAAATCTGCCATCTCTAGCAAAGGAAAACAATTTTCTTCCATCTTGTTACATACAAACTTGGTTTCTACTCCAAGTGGGAGATCACTTGGTAAAATTTTACTACTCACATTTATTCAGTAATATTAGAGGCAATAATCTAACAACAAAACCTATAATCAAAAGGAATTTGAATATTCTCACTACACTTGAAGAGGCACTGAAGAGAGAATACAACGTCAACTATATGCAAGACTGGGTGCATCTGCACATGCAATTAATACAAAGTGATAAATTCCAGAGCATTTGAGCTGCAATACACTGCTCCCGGGCACAGCGTCTACACATGCAACAACTGGACCCAGGGTGAAGCAGGCCCAAGCTGGCAACATGCTGAGGGAGTCAGCCCTGGGCTCCAGGTGGCAGCGGTGGGCAGCGGAGGGGCTTGACTGGGGCATGACAGTGCCAAAAGTGCAGAGTCATGTGGCTAGGCAGCAGGCAGGAGTCTGGCCCCCTGCTGCCTGGATGCAATTTACACCTGTGGTCACCACCCGCACGTGCGTTTCATTGCAGTTAATCACTCCACTGTAAGACAGTACTGTCCCTGACAGCACTATCTTATAACGGAGTTAATTAATTTACTGTGTCCTAATACTGGCACACATGTAGACAGCGATGCTTTACTGTGAAGCTAATTGGTCTACTGCACAAAAAAGATGAGGACTGATTTGAACTGAACTGCTTGAAAAATGGACTACCATACTGTATTTACTTCTCACCTGTGGGATTGTACTTGTTGAATCATTCAAGGGCATAGCCAAAGATATCAACTCTTTCATTGTAATTTTCAGCAAGTTTGTCGTACTCTTTTTTGGTTCTGAAGCCAACAATGCCTAAAGGAAAAGGGTTAAAAACAAATTACTACATATTCTAGGCACATTCTTTTACAGTTTTATTTCAGCATCCATGTCTTTTTTTTTCCCCTACCTAATATGTTAACACAGCCTCTAGTGACTGAAAAGCACCCTGGGAAATTTGCACAAGAGGTTCAGTTGTAACCATTTTGCTGTGCTCCAAATTTTCTGAACCACTCATGGCTTTTGAATGAAATTTTTTGCATTTTTCCTACACAGGTGAATTTTCCTGAGACATTTCAGCAATATCCCTTCACCAATTTTCAAGTTGAGTAAAATAAAAACTTACATTTTCCTCCTTTACATAAGAATGAAATAATATTTTTTCAAAAACTAATTTACTATAGCAAAAACACCTATTGTATTAAGTATACACATACTTCACATTCTTGACAAATGCCTTAGCTTGGATTGAAAACTTATTTTACACACACACATGATTTGCTAGTTTATGGACTAGGGAAAAAACAACAAAAATTTCATTCTGCAAACACTGGAGAATCAGGAACAGTTTTCATTCTAAGGCAGGATAAAATCAGACTTTCTTTAAGAAAAAAGGCAAAAGACACGCTTTCTAGAATAGCAAACAGTCTAGTGCTTATCTTACGTTAAGACACTCACCTGGGGCTAGGAAAATTCAAGTAGAATCTCCGCTCTGCCTAATTCAGGGTTACAGAGGCAGTCTCCCTCCCTCTAACAATCTCTCCTGTTTTTGACAGTTGACAGCATATGGGACAGAGACTTCACATGTGGGAAATCCAGATTAGGATCAGGGAATTGAGCATGCATCTCTTGCATACTGAGAGGTACCTTAAGTGTCAGGAGATTAGGCAGACTGAGGTGGGAAGAGAGTGAGACCTTGTCCCAGAACTGCTAATGTCCTTGATCTGTTTTCCATCAAAATCAATCCATTCAATGCAACATTTGTATTATGGCATAAGGGCCCTTTTCACTGAAACAAGATTGTACTAAAATGTTTTCAACTAGTTCTAAGTACAACCATTTGTAAATTGTCAATCTCCGACAGACAGGACTTTTGGAGCCCACTCAGCCAATCAGAGGCATGGGCGGCCCTCCTGCCACAGACTGACAAGGTGCTGATATCAGTTATTAGATATAATGCCAAAAGCGTTGCTGAGATGCCCAGTCTATACAGATGTTGGGCCAACTGGGTCAAACTGATGCAATCCATCATCTGGGTATAAGTTGCGCTCAGCGCGGGGGCGCATCAAGTTGAAAGTAAAGTGCTGGGGTTTGGGGTTGTTTTGTCTTGGGGGTTTTAGGTGGGGGGGAGGGTTCACATCTGAAAGCAGCCACTGAGTCACAGGCAAGAAACAAGAATGATGAGAGGTTCAGAAAATATGACCTAAGAAATGGCTGAAGGAATTAGGTTTATTTAATCTGGGAGAAAGAGGATTTAGGGGATCTGTGGTCTTCCAACAGGACAGTTTTTCCAGTTTTCTTGCTCATGACAACTGTTCTCATTGCAATTAAGGAAAAGAAGAAATCAGCTTGAACAGGTTACCTATGAAGGCTGTGAAATTTTCACTAGAGGTTTTTAAAAACACATCAGGGGCTGGCCTAAGTACACTTGATCCTACCTCAGTACAGAAGACTGGTATAGCTTATGTCTAGATATCCCTTTCAGTTCTACACTTTTATTTCATAACTGACACTTCAGAGCCATATCCACATTTTTAACAAGTAAAATAAGCAGCTATGTGCTATCAGCGACATACTTACAGTGTCTGAAATGAAACAAAGTTACACGTTTTCAAGGATTTGAACCAACAAAACTCATGTGCTTCATCCTCCAAAACACCAGTCATAAGATCCATCTTTCAGGCCAAACTTCTGTTCTGACCTATACTTCAGGCAATCCCAGTTGATGGGCCTGCATGATATAAGCTATTCCAAAATATGGCCTCTCAACTATACCAAAGTTGACCAAGTCCCCAGAAACAGTATAAATTTGACCAAAAATAGGCAAAAATCATTAAAGAGCAAGCATACCACACACACACACTATACTCACCAATATCTTATATGAGTTTATACATTTCAGACAGAAGCAGCAATAATAAAGGAAATTGCTAACTCTAGTAGGTACCTGTACGTAAAATGGAATTCCAGCACTGCGCCTAGTGGCACATAGCTTAGATGAAGGATCACAAGATTTTATTTCTTCCAAAACACTGCACAACCATTGCTCTGGCAACCTCTGTAGCCTCTCATTGTTACACCTACATGACACAAATAAGAATGGATAAGTAGCTAGGACAGAGAAAATCAAAACAGAAATATACATTAGACATGGCATAAACTGATATACCAAAATGTATACAGCAGATGTGTACTTCATTGAATCATAGGAAAGTAGGGCTGGAAGAGACCCCCAAAGTCATCTAGTCCAGCCTGCTGTTTAAGGTAGAGTCATCCCCAACTAAGCCATCCAAGCCTATTATTGAAGCTTCATTTATTTTAGTTTTAAAACTGGGTATCTCCCAAGGTTGGCACAAGTCATATCAAACCCACACAAGGTGTCACAAGAAAAAGTGTTTTTGGTGAAAAAGGAAAAACTCTATTGTCTTCATAACAACACAACTTAGTCCCCTTCCCTCAGAAAGGTGCGCACAGATCCCGGTCAAGACAATGGAAGGGCAGTGAAGACTGGAGCCACTGAAACAGATCTGCTATTCAGTACTTTATACCTGGTGTTTAACAACAAGCAGCCTGGGACATTTTTTGACAGGATGGGGGCACTGAAAGAAGTGCTGCAAAGAAACCCCAAAAACTCAGATGGGAAACAAAGAAGGAAAGAAGAGCTCCAGTACGATTTCAGAAGACATATTCCCTTGTACAGATGCAGCTACATGGCCCTGCCCCTCTTCTTCTGGTGGTGTGACTAATAACTACCTAAAATAGCTTGTGCACATGTGAAAAAGTACAGATCAACCTTGTGCAAATCCTTAGGGTAGAAGAGCATATGTAAACCTTCTCTCTACACACTGTAGCTGTGTACTGCTAGCCAGAATCTGTTCCCTACTTTGGTCAGATTTTGCCATTTGATAACAGAATTTATATAATGTGTTGATCAAACCAACTCAGAAAAACATACCAAAGCACAATAGGGCTAACACTGCTAACACACACAGTGCCTTCTGTTCCACGTAAACTTCCAAACCATGAGACTTCAAAAACCCAAAATCAAAACAGCAGAAAAAACAGTTCAGTTAAGGTCTTCCTGTATATCTCTGAAATTAATTAGTGTTTCAAGGAAAAAGTCAAAACATTGTGAAAGCAGGAAATGCAGGGTTAAGATACTACTTCACATAATATGTCTTTGACTCTGCTCCCACGAGGACACTGATAACTTGCTGCATGGTTCTTTCGGAAGTTGGATCTATTTGTTTAAACAACAGGAAACATATAGGAAATGTCATACTGAACACACAAGTGTTTAACAGTATTTTTTCAGCTAAAAACAAAAAGGAGAGCCAATTCATTATGTCAAGCAGGATCTCTATCAGTATTTTTCATTGTACCAACACTGCTCTTTACCAAACTGAAGGTGCTTCTGGACAGTGTAGAAAGGAACCCTGATTTGGGCTTGTTTGTTTGTGTGCTTTGGTTTTGGTCTTTTTTTACTCTCAGAAACATTAATATTCTTCTTGCATATGACAGAAATCAAGTAAATATAATCAGATTTTCCAATGTCTAGATTGACCTTGTCTCACAATCTGTACAGCTATGAGTGCCAAAGTCACCACTGCATGATTATAACCTTAATATCTGTTCCACAAATAAACTGTTTAGAAAGAACCCATGAAAGCATTCAAATGAATCAGGCTGAAAAATGGTCCTCACATTTGCATATGAACAGATTGGGTTTCTTCTCTTACCACTAGCACATCTAGTCTCAGAAGGCATGACCTGATGTTCCTTTCACCCTTATAAAATTTTGCCTGGTAATTCTTGACAATAGCTGCCCCAGAAGCAACTTTACTATGAAACTTAGCATTTCCATATCCACAATAGAATAAACAACAATACCTGCAGACAATAAAAAATACACCACACTTAGTACAACTCGTCGTAGACCCACGTCAAACCCAAATACCCCAAAGTAAAGCCACAGAAAATTTACGATAGCCTGGAATACAAATTTATGTCTCCTGAACTTCAGCTTTTTTTATTACTGCAGTTTCCATTTTCATCTACTGCACATACATCACATTATGGATCTACTATATAGACAGCATTACCAGCTATATAGATTTGACCCTGTCCCTCTGAGAGGCAGAAGAGTTAAGTTCTACTATATAAGGAACCCGAGTTCCATTCTTTGTTCTCGGAGAAGCGAATTTGTGGAAACTTTGCCCTGCCCTCACCTAACCATGTCTGCACGTTAGAAATTCCATAATAAAGACCTTTCTTGCTCCCTGTTCCCTCTCAACAAGTCAGCATCAAGATTTCAACATAGGACCTTCAGAGCCAGGCCACAATCTTCCAATGCATGAAGCAATGTTTTGCAAGCAGGTTGTACAACTACCTGCTATACAGCAACAGAATGAAGGGAAAGAAGACTCTTTGTTTCTATTCCTGGCCTGGAAAAGAAATGCCAAGCAGATCTTAAGGGACATGGTTACAGAAAGGATAAACAAGCACAGGAATTTAGCAGGTTTTTTTTTAAAGTAGCACAGCAGAGTGACTTGGATTCTAAACCCAGCTCTATTTTATCTGTAAAACAGGAGTATGATGTTTGCATAAATGAGTGCATAAAATAGTAGTTGATGAAAGATGCACCGTACTAATGGTCCAGTCAGTAGCATATTTAGCAATGAAGGTGGAGTTCTCCCTCCCTTCTCAAAATCTACTACTCATGGCAGTGGTATTCCATGTGCAGAAACACCAATTAAATGTATCCTAAAAACAGATGCAAAAATCTACTGACTTTGTAATTATTAATAAACTATTAGAGTTTATTAGGTAATTATTATTAGGTTGTAAGCAGCCAGATAAGAGCTTTTACCAAGCCAGTTCAATGCTATGTGTTTCATGTTAATAATGCCACATAGATTTTTTTTCCTTATTTTTTTTTTAAATCTACATAACAAAGATGATTTTTTTTTAAACTGGTTGCTTGAGGACAAGAACTCTGTTAACAGGAAGCACTGGATCGAAGGACCTTGGATTTGCATCATAAAGCTACCAGCTCATCCGTTTCAAGTAACTTAGACTATTTAAACACCACTAAAATCTACATTCCAAAAAATTCAACTTTAAACAAAAAATGCATAACTACCTTCTGTTTCATCAAATAGTCATTGAAACATTAATGGTTTTCCATTGGTATGATTTATACTCTGCATTTAAAAAATAATGCCACAGTAATGAGTGTCTAAAACCAAAAGGGGCAAGATACTACACAAGCTCATGAGAAACTATGCACAATGTAAAAAAAGTGCTTTTTAGTTTGAAAAAACAAAAGTGAATTGGCTACGCAGCAGACCCTCCTTTAAAAGGCAAAATCAGCCAAGATGCTTCTGCTAACAGTCCCTGGGTTTGAACTCCTGAAATCAGCTGTTCTTGCTGAAAAGCACTCCCTCCTGGGCCTTCACTTCCTTTTGCTTTTGAATCATAGTCTGATTCAGCTGACAGTCAGCACACTGCCTAAAGTCTATGTGTTTACTCATGCCAAGCCTGTATAAGGTCAGTGTGAATAAGTCCTGCAGCATAGAAATTCATTAACTAACTGATTTTGTGCTCATTTGAGGGCTTTGTGATAACTGTACAATTATCTTAAGGATCTTTAAGATGGTAATTATGGTGGGCACAATCTAGCTAATGCTAATTTTAACATCTTTAATCTTATACAGTAGAAATTAACATATACAATGAAAACAGAACTGAAGCCATCTGAAATAAGTGCATGGGTAAGATCAAATGTGACTGGGGGCATCCATACTCACAGGCCTTGAGGCCTAGGATTTGCACACAGGATGACCACTGGGATTTGGGGAGTACTGGGCCAGTATCCCACCTCCTATGGGTCTGGGAGGTAGGATACTGGCCCAACTGAATGGCCCCATGAATATTTGATGTGGATATATCATCATATATAATGATATATATATTTCCAATGTCCAATTATTTTAGACATAAAATACACTCACAAAACTTGAATCTAACATATTGTGAAGACAGAAAAAGGCGCTATTATTTATAAGCCCTTTGGAATTATTTATCAAGTGTCTGAACTGTTTTCTTGCCATGAAGTATTTTTCCATCGTTCTTACACAAGTTGGCATTACCTATAAACCCTCTCGTATGGCTTGAGGCTCTAAAAATAAATACTTGTGTCCAAATTACAGGAACAGCCTTAAGCAAAAGAATTTTGGGAAGGAGCAGAACGTCAAGTCTACTTCTATTCCAGGTGTTGCCTGAGGAAGAAAAAAGTTCAAGAAAATATAATTTAGCTAGTAAAGCTAGCTCCTTAACACAGCCTTTTCAAATGCACTCTTTCAGTATTTTTTTCTTGCATGAATGCCATTTTACATTTTTATTAAAAACAAGTAAATGCTTCCACTGATGCCTCAGCACAAGCCTGTAAAGAGGATTAACCATTATTATTAATACAACTATAATTATACCAACCTATAGGAATTCTTTGTACCATAACACAAGTCCTAACTAGTCTCCCAGTTAAACAGTTGGGTAGCCTGTTAGGTCTTACAGAACACCTGGGTGGCTGAAATAAGGAGAAAGACAAGAGAAGTCAGGATTTAGACCAAAAAGTCAGAAGAGGAATATGCAAGCGGAAGGAGCCTTATCCTTTTCTCCATTTACTTTTTCTTTTCTCACCATGTTACACGATATGATTTTACATGTTAAAAGCATTACAGTTCTACTGCCACAACTGTCACTCACGCTGTACCTACCAGCCAGGAGGATACAAGCAGAGGCAGGTACCTAGGCAACAGACACTGCACCTTCTCTATCTTTTCTAATGAATATTCAAAGAAATCAGTCCTTCCAATAGTGACACCGAATATGTTCTATGCCATTGCCACACCTTTTCACAGATGTTTCAAGCATTACTAGATCTGTGAACTGCAGCTACCTTTCATCTACCATCCTGACGGCCACATTAGAAGGGTCAGAGAAACATGACTTCAAACAAGTGCAGGTAGAGCTCAGCAACACAGGACCAAAAAAATGTAGAGATTCAACCTAGCCTGCA